TGCAGCCGTCGGACAAGCCCTGCTCCACTGTGGCTCTGAGGCTGCAGTCAGATAAACAACCCACCATTGTATCCCTGAGGCTTCAGCAGTCAGACAAGCCTCTTGCCACCACCGCAGGCCAGCAGCCTCCGCCCTCAGATGAGTCTCCTTCCGCTGCTGGAGCTCCGCCGCCTCCTCCCACAGATGAGTCTCCAACTAAGGGCCTGCAGCCTCTTCCCTTGGACGAGTCTCCCACCGCTACCCAGGTTCAGTGGCCTCAGCTGTTGGGCGAGTCTCCCGCCCTCGCTAGAGTCCCACGGCCTCAGCTGTTGGGCGAGTCTCCCATCAAGGGCCTGCAGCCCCTGCTGTCAGATGAGGCTCCCGCCGCTGGGGCCCTGCGGCGTCAGGCATTGGACAGGCCTCCCGCAGCTCCAAGGCTGCTGCTGTCTGAGAAAGCGCTGAGGCCCGGGGATCAGCCAAAAGAGAGAGTAGTCGCGGCGGTGGAGCCGCAGCAGAAAGAGCGAACTTGTTTACCTGAGGAGCAGACCTCTCGGCCTGCAGGGAAGGCAGTGACACACCTGGGGCAGGCACCTCGGCCCATGGAGAAATTGCAGACCTATGAGCCAATCCACTGGCCCACTGTGGAAGCACTGACGCCTGCGGAGCAGTCCCCTCGCACCACCGAGAAATTACAGACCCCTGAGCCGCCGACTCAGGCTGACCGGGAAGTGGCATCCGCACCCACAGAGCAGAGCCCTTGGACCGCAGAGAGGTTACGTACATTTGAACAGATCCCCCGGCCTGCCAGGGAAGCACCAGTGCCCCCAGAGCAGGCTTCGTGGCTTGCCAGGAACATTCAGACATTTGAGCAGATCTCTTGGCTCTCTGGAAAAGCACAGACACCCCTGGGGCAGGCCCCTTTGCCTGAGCAAAACATAGTGCTAGTCCATAACCAGGATTCTCCCAGTCGGGAATTGGCTGAATCGAAACCGAAGTGAAGTCAGTGAATGAGGCAGGCAGGTTGCAGTCGGTTTGTTTGGGGAGAGGGATTTTCTTTGTTTTGTTTGTTGTTCACGTCCCTGAGCCCAGCCTCAAGCCCAGGCGCTCTCATGACATAAGCAAGGACGTTTACCTAAACCGGAGTGTGGCCCAGCCACGGAAAGTGAGCATCAGCGACCTTTTCCTCTTCCTTTTAGAAACGGTAACGTTGAAATAAAGAGTCCACTCCGGATAAAATCTCTAATTCCATTGAAATGGTCACGTTCCTGATCTAGCGCGTCTGCATCCACAAGGGCTTTCCCAAACAGCTAAGTGGCCCTGAGGAAGCAATTTCCTTTCTCTTAACTGTTCTGAGTGGAAGCAGAACAACTAGTGTGAACTGGGATCTCAGACGTTTCCAACGATTAAATGGTGCACAGAGTAATTGGACACGTGTCTTTGCTAGACTCTGAAGAGGGGAAGGGATTTAGCACTTGTGCTGCCCAATTCTCCTTCCCCACAGGGTTTTCCTTTGCAAGTGTTTGCCTGAGTGTGCGCATTGGTATGTGTCACCAGTGCAAGGCTCACCAAAACACAGGTGCTGTTGTAAAATGGCGGAGTCCCGTGGAGGAGTCTGCTCCTGCCAGACTGTACAGTTCATTCCAGCGTGGGCAAGAGAACTGCTCCTGCGCAGGCCTGTGATTGGGGGTGGGGGGAGAAGGTCTCTGAAGATACCATCTGCCAGGATTCTCACTCTTGGATCTTAGCTCTGTAACGTGGGACAGGCGGAATTGCCACTGCACATAGAAAGCTGTGAGCTCTGGAGGCAGCTGTAGCAGGGTAGAGCGTCAGTAAGGATGCCGAGCACTGCCTTTGTCAGGGGAGAGACGCTGCCCTCTGAACGGTCCAGGCAGTTCCTCCTTCACCTTGCTTGTTACCATGAACTAGCAAACTAAATAGTCTCTCCCTCCCCCATCTCAACCACATGCTTAGGAGTCCTGTTTGCAGAGTGGCTGGTAGCCCTAGCTACCAGCCCTAGCTACCTAGTGAATTCTGTGGAATTCACTCCATAGTGCAGAGTCAAGAAGCTACTTCAGAAGGCATGGTGTATCCAGAATGGAAAACCATGTCAACACCCTTCTCCTTGGTTAGCCTCTGTATTTCCAACCAAAAATCCCCACAGGAGACTTGAATTACCTGGACTATGTTGAAGTGTTTGTGTGTCAGAAAACCAGCCCCTCAAGGTAATAGTTCTCACACTGGAACACAATGGCTCTAGCGCCTGGCTGGCCTCTCTCTCTCTCTCTCTCTCTTTTCCACTAAAGGTAGCTATGCCTGGTGACTTGCCAGGCTGATATTCCGAATAGACCTGATGGAGGCAGTGACATTACCTGCCTGCTAAGGCAGAAATACACTCTGCTATGGCACTGATAAGTTGTGTGGTAGAATTACAGGCAGGGACTTAGGAAGTGACGCTTGTGACCTGCGAAGGAGTGGCCGGGCAGTCTGCGTTCGTGCTGCCCACGGTTAGTGCAGTGTGCTGTGCCATCGGGAAGCACCGTCTGATCAGCACGGCCTCCCAACACATTACCTACGTTACACGCCTGAGCTCCACTGACCTGGGCAGCAGGAGTCCAGCTTCAGCCTGTGTCCCCCACTGTTTCAGAGAGAGCAGTAGGTCTCTCCCCAGAGGGGGGAGCCCTAGTTCGATACTAGTCCCTTTCCTCTGACTCGGGAACAGATCAAGGCTGGCATTCAGCTCGCATGTTCGCACTGCTCCAAGAGAGGGCAATAATTAGCTTTGCGGGTTTCTGTGATAGGGAGAGAGATCTCTGTACCAAGGCAAATCCTGCTCCATTCTCCTTTGCAAAGTCAGCTCCCCAAGAGAGTGTCCCCTCTGGGCAGTGCTGTCGTGTGTCTCCTCTCCAGTCTGAATCGCTTCAGACCCCTCTGTGTAGCTCGTGACTTGGAAAAGCTTTATGGCTTATGGAATCTTAGTGTTTAGTGTTGTTTTTCCATGAAGACCTGCAGGTCGGTCCCTGATCTCTGCTGAGCTGGGGGAGATGCAAGCAGCTATTGTTTTGCATGACTCCTGCACAGAGGGAATCAGGTTGTCTCCTCAGAGCCATTGAGAGAGGATAAACTAAGGGCATTTTATTAACTTTTTAAAATAAAAACAAAATTACAAAAAAAAAAAAGGTAATGAGGTTCCGTATGTTAAGTATTTATCATGTGTGAGAAGGAAAATAAATCTCTAATTTACATTGATAGCCCTTCCCATGAGCTGGACTTTGCCATGTAGATTGTGTGAGTAGGGTGTCCTCTGCGCCAGCCGCCCAGCCAGCGGAGCTAGAACAAGAAAAGACATCTGCACTGCTTTGTCCAACTCTGTTTTTGCAATGTCATGTGTTACCTAGTTATTTGTTTCATGAAAAATAAACTGTGAATATTTTTGGTGCAGGCTATTTTAAATCTTTACAATGGAGAAGTTCTCAGTGAGCGCAGGTTTGAAGAATCATTCTTATAAATCATGTGTTTAAATCTAGGGCGAGGTTCACAGCAGCAGAATCCCTCCAGCACTCTCGGCAATTATTTAGGAGCTCCCGTTTGAATAGTGAAAGTAGATTGCATGATATTTTAAGCCACAGCCTTATGCCACTCACTTGACTACACCACTGTTTCTCTTCCCTTCTCCCTCCAGACCTTTTCTGTACAGATCCAGTTTTCCAGTCCACCCATCTTCCAACTGACACGTTTCACAGAGCTGACTTGAGAATAGCTGTGCACCTGCTTGGTTAAATACAAATCTGCACTGGGAAATGTCACTTAAAGGCAGTGTTTGTGTCAGTTTAGAAGTTAATACAAATGCCTCTCTAGGTGTAAGAGTGTTTAGGAGAAGTGAGGAAACCAGGAAGCAGTTGTTCTGTATCAGGTGGAAGAGGCTGTGCAGTTAATGGGGTTTTCCTCTCTGCACAGGGCTGAACACCCCACTCCCCGGGAGTGGGATGTGCCCCAGTCCCTCGGTAGCAAGCTGTAGAGCACTGAAGAACCGTGGCTGGTTGGCCACTTCTGTGTTATCCCAGGCTAGAGGAGGGAGCTTTTGATACCGATGGGAACATCTCTGTAAGTTAATATGATGGAGAAGAAATTAACAGCTTTATGTCTGAACCCTGTTGGCAACCTCGGCAAACAGGCCAAGGCCTGAAGGGATCTCTGAGACAGAAGGCTCTCTTGCCTCTAGGTGTGATCCCTGAGACATGCTCTGCTGGAACCAAGGCTGCCTTTATCTGGGGAGGACTAAAGTGACTTCAGCCTCAGGGTCAGACTGGCACACTTTGTCTGCCAGGTAAATCCACATGAAAGGAAACAAAATTGAATTCCACTGTTTGAGATTGTGGCAACCAGCAGAGCCAGCCAGCTGCATCTGCTGACTTGGATGCCGGAGGAGACATTTGTATTGGGGCTGTTTAAATGCCATTTATTTCCTTTGCTACCTTTTAGAATTCGCATCAGTAATTCAAGTCACTGGATTCTTTATATAGAAAATAGCATTGCAAACATGTTAGTGCTCATGTAGGATAGTAGCTAGAGAGAGAAACGGTCAGTGTTAAAGTAAATGAAATGAAGTGTGCAGGCCGTTCATTCTGGCCTTTGCCATAGACACAGAGCTCTACCGAGATCAAATGATTTAATGGAGAGAGAGAGAGACTCAGGGTGCGTCTACACTAGAGACATCAGTACCAGATAGAGGGGCTGCCCCACAGGTAAGGTGAAGTTGAGATTTGGACTTAAAGCAGGAATTCACCCTCATTGTTGAGGACAAACACATTCTACCTACATAGCAAAGAGGTGTCAGACGTTTTTTCCCCCCAGATCATCTCAGCTGAGGTGTTGCTGCAAGAGGTGGGTCCTGAGTAGATCTAGTGCAAGAGGTGGTTTTTGAAAAGAAGAGTTTTGGGTTAAGAGCCGTGTTTTCTGTCTGCTCGTAACTGAAAGTTTCTCCTTTGAGAGACGCTGAAGAAGGTTCATAGAAACTCTCCAATAAAAGCCCTCTTGCAAAATGGCTGCAGGCTCCCGTTGTTCTCCAAGGGACTGAGGCCATTAGCTGCCTTTAGCAAAGATGGTCATCCCCTCTGCTCATCTGCTCCTCCCAGCGCTGCTGCGTGTCCCCTGACTGCATAGAGCCATTGTCTCCCCTGAGGACTTCACTCCACCTGTGGCCTCGGTGCCATTCAGAACAATGGGAGCGGTGAGAAGGAGATCAGTGGGCGAGCATGCCTGTTTGGAAGGGCAGCCTTTGGTGAGCTTCTCTATAGGATAAGATGCTATGCACCAGCCTCTGCTGCTGGAGAAAACACTCAGTACGTCTTCGTGGTCTGGCTCTGGGGGTGCACATGTTCCAAGCTCAGGACCAGAAATTCTTCAATAGCCGTGTCCGTTGGTCCGTGTCTGTGCTCTGCTATGAACTGAGGGCATATAAGTGACAGTGCGGATCAGCTGCCTCTCCAGTTCCTTGCTACCGCTCGCATTCTGGGACGGGCCCTCTTGTGTTCGTTAGTCTCTTAGCCTCAGTTCAGTGTTGCCTGTAAACATTAAACATGGTTTTAATGGTTTATTGGTTATGTGTCTCTTTTCATTAGTTAGTTAGTGCTTTTCAAGTAGCTGTTAGTGGGGGTCAGGAGGTTCCCTCCACTTTATTCCCCCTACGTCCAAGGCATTTACGCCCAAGGCCCCAGGTTTCAAGCACTGTGTTGCATGCCAAGTCTTCCTGCTAACCAGTGCTCACAAGACGTGTCTCTGCTTCCTCCAGGAATCTCACATCCCGTCGAAGTGTGAGATCTGCTTCTCCTTCCTCTCCCCCTTGTGCTGGGCAGTCCCAGAGCTCCGACTCCGCAGGCACCTGATGGAGCTCTCCAGCAGACCTGAGGACGCATGAAGAGGGTAGGGAAAGACACACTCCTCAGAAGACTGACAAGTCCTCTCATAAGTCGTCAAAGAAGAGGATGGCCTCCCCAGACCAGGTGCACCCAGAGTTCACAGGGAGCAAGAGCCGGCACCGGCAGTACCAGGAGATTCCAGCGCTCTGAAACCCACTTCAAAGCACTCTATAAATGAGGCCATCTTGGGGCCTCTGAAAACCTTTGGCACAATCCAGCCATCTTCCAGGCTGTCCTAGATAAAGGAAAGCTTGTAACGGGGTCATCTCTGCGGGCATCCCTGAATGCAGTGAACACGGCTTCCTGCTCTGTGGCTACCTCGGTCATGAGATGGGCATCATGGCTGCAGGCGTCGGGTCTCCCCGAGGAGGTCCAAGCCACTCTAGAAGATCTATCATTTGGGGGCAACAACTTATTGAGTGAAAGAACTGATGAGTCACTCAAGGACTCCTGTGCCACCCTCTGTTCCTCAGGAATATACACCCTGGCTCCTCTCACAAAATATTTTAAACTGCCCCAAGCTAGAGACTGCCCAGCCCCACAGCATCGGCAGCTTTGACAAAAGTCCTGACAGGAGTGCAGCACGCCTACACCATCACCACTACAATGTACGTCCCTGTCTAGGTGACTGGCTTCTCGAGGGATGATCGTATCAGGCGGTGCATAAAGCATTCGCTGCCCTGCTTGACCTGTGCCGCTCCTTGGGACTTCAGGTAAACCCAGGAAAGTCCATTTAACACCCACGACTGCAGAATTTATTGGAGCAGTTCTTGACTTGCTTGCACCCAGAGTTTACTTACCACAGGACAGATTCCTAACAATGAGACCCCTCCGTATCCAACTTTTCTCAGTCATCAGACGGCAGTCTGGTCCTCCTAGGCCATGTGGTGACACGCACCTACACCCATCTCCAGGCTTGGCTGAGGAAAGTCAACGCAAGGACTCCTCAGACAAGAGGGTTGCCCTTCCTTCCAGCATTCAGGCATCTCTCACCTGTTACGAAAAGGGAGTCGGTATTTGTGGGGATTCCCTTTGCTCCCACCCCACTCCCAAAGACACTTGTGACAGATGCAGCCTGACTTGGCTGGGGGCCCACCTGCTTGACTACACAGATCAGAGTTCCTGGACTTTGCAAGAGTTCACATGCCACATCAACCTGCTCAAGCTTTGGGCCGTCCACAAAGCATGCACACAAGTCCTCCCCTGTATCTGAGCCACCCTGTCCAGGTCCGATCAGACAACATGACCACTCTTTGCTTTATTAACAAGGTCTGCATCATTCTGCCGGGAGGCTGTCCAGCTTGGAGCTGGTGCCTCCAGCATCAGCTCATCCTCTCTGCAGTGCACCTACTGGGGAGAATGAAAACTCCCTAGCGGACAGCCTCAGCAGGCGTTCTCACACAGACCATGAAGGGGAGCTCCGCTTGTCCATCATCCAACAAATCTTTTGCCAGTTGGGATCCCCATTTTGTGACTTCTTTGCAACCCAGGACATACCTGATTTATTGCTTTTGCCATACATTTGCCTGCAGCCATTTCTGGACCTGCTATCACAGAATGGGGACAGGACCACCCATCCCAACCCATATTTCTTCATCTGACATTCTGTTTTTTGGATGGGCAACAGACTTAGAGAGATCCTACTCAAAGATCCATGCTTCTGAGTAGCAGGAAACCCTCTATAAGGAAGTGTTACGCTGCTGAGTGGAAGCAGCTCTCCATGTGGTGTCAGAGGCACAATTTGCCTCCAGAGGAGTCTGGCGTTCCTCTTATCCTGGACTGTCTCCTCTCCTGAAAGTCAGCAGGCCTAGCCATCATTTCATTAAGGGTTTATTTAGAGCTGTCGATGCCTTTCATCCTCAGTAGAGGACTGGTCAGTTCTCACCCATCCCACAAGAATCAGGTTCTTAAAAGGCATTGTCAGAATGTTCCCTCAGTATCAAGACCGTCTCTGTCCTGGGACCTGAACTTGGTCCATTCCCAACTCATGAAACCACTGTTTGAACCCTGAGCCTCCACCTCAGTCCTACTCTTTGAAGGTAACTGTCCTTAAAGCTGTTACCTTGGCCAGGAGAGTTTGGGCCCAGTGGCAGACCTGCCTGATCTTGTCGTTCACAGAGTCAGTGTCCTTGAAATTGTATCCCAATTTCCAGCTGACTTCCACTGTAACCAGCCGTTCATCTGCCTATGTAGTACCTAGATTTTCACAGGAATAGTGAGGGCAGGAGGCTGCTCTCTGGGTGCTGCATAGCTTGGTGGTTCTGTCGGGATAGGACAAGGCCCTGCAGGAGATCTCCACGGCTGTGTGTCCATAGCTGTGCTGATGAAAGGAGAAGCAATATCTTCTCCAAGACACTCAGAATGGATTTCCAGCTGCATCTTTCTCTGCTCTGAGAGGGCGGGAGCCCCTCCTCTCCAGGCTGTCAGGGCTCGTTCGACCAGAGCGCAAGGTGCCGCAGTGGCATCCTGCCAAGGGATCCCTCTGAAGTTTGTAGAGTGGTGACTTGGCGCTCCGGTCACGTGTTCACAGGGCACTAGTCACTGAATCAGGCCTCGGCTGAGGACGCTTCCTTGGCTCAGCCATTCGGTGAGCTGTGTACAGAACTCTTCTTGCCCTGGCCACCTGCCTGGGACTCACCCACAGTGAGTAGCCATTGGGACCAAAAGGGAAGGTTCTTTCTTCAGTGTGGTCTCTGCAGACCCAGCCTCCCCTTCCGGCTTTGGATCCTTATGGGATTCATGGTAGAGTAGGAACTGGAGAGGCCGTCGGTCCATGCCACCCCTTATCCCCTTGGTTCACAGCACAAGGAGACGCAGGGCACGTCAGTGGCCCAACAGACACCACTATTGAAGAATTTCCAGTCCTGGACACACACAGCACATGTGCATCCACGGTGAATACCCGCTGGGCCATCTCGAAGCTCTCCCGTTATGATAAGTAACCTTCCTTTATGAAGAATAACTGCAAAATAATGGCGCTTAATACTAATGAGGTCTTTTCAAAACCTACCTGTTGCACCAAATCTATCCAGCAAGGAGAAATGGGGGCATGTGTACGCACCGGGGAGTATGGAGGGAAGGGGGCATTGCACTGCTCTGATGATGAACAACAACTGCAAATGCAGCTTAATTATCCACCTCGGCACTGCTCCCAAGTGCATAAAGCAGCCAGGGCACTGGTGAATCTGGACATAAAAATTACTATTTTAAAAGATGGTTAAGGCTGATGCTACATATCTTCAGATCATTAAAAATATCCCTTGGTAGCTGTTGCTTTGTGAGTTTTGTTTACTGATCACATATGAAAACTTTAGTAATTAAAAAGAAAACAAATCCCCAGAGAAAAATGTGTGATGGAGTTAAGGTAGAGAATACATATTAGTAAATTAGGGTAAAAAATACAGGAATGTTGTGATTAATTTTAGACAAGCATTATTAGACCCAGGGAATTTGGAATTAATGTTGAACATAAAAGAAATACAGCTTGTTACGATGAGACTATGCACAGTTAAGTTGTGTAAACAACCTTAACTCATCCCTGTAAAGGCAGAAATGAAAAATGAGGAAAAGACTCTGTCTGGAAAAGTCAGTTCAGTTTAATCTGAGATCACAGGCCCTGATGAGCATCAATAGTAACTGAATGGTTCTTGGCTGACATCACTACGGGGCGGATGGGAGTCTGAACTGTGCATTTCAACACCTTAACGTGTTTGGATTTCTGTTAAATTTAGACTTAACTCTCAATTTACATCTCTTGACTGTACGTTACCCTAAATTACTGTATGCACACTGAGCCTTACACCGTGGGAACCTGGCTGAGAGCTGGGAATGTGACAGCAGAACTTGCCGTGATACTAGTGCAGACATCGGTTCTGAACAGCTGCTCAGCACGTGGTGTCAAAGTTGCCTGAGGCTTGTCTACAGTAGTACATCTCCTTGCTAGTACTGCACCATTAGAAGCAGCTGTTGGGATCCAGTTACTAACTTGTCTAATGTAACAGGCCTCCCTGCGCCCTTGGAGAAGGGACAGATCTAGGGGAGATTATCGACAGTTGTTCCTTCACTTTCCTGTTGGCTTCAGCAGGAGCTTTGCATGTAGCGAGCTAGCCGGGCTCCTGGCGACTGGGTAATAAAGTGAAAGCAGATTCCTTCCTTTAGCAACGTCCTGATGTGATGTTCTCAGTGAAGCCAGCCAGACCCCTCTGCCATCTTGGCAGCAGAGGGATATGCTGCACCATGGGCTAGAGGAGTGGCTGTGGGGGGCAGGCCCGGGAGTACTCGATCTACCTCTTGGGGAAATCTCGACAAATGAATAGTGCTATGTCCTGTTGCTAGGGAACGTAATCTTACATTGGCCCTTGGCTAAGTACTTGGGCTCTCGTGGTGCTATTGTACAGAGTTTGGCCGCTGAGCACAGCCGGGCTGAATCCACGTCCCCCAGCCCTACGGCTGCAGTTCCTTTGCAAGCTGAATCCTTTCCTTCTCTGGGAGCTGGGCTGGGCCTTTGTTAGTCGCTGAAACAGACAGGACAGGACTCTCAGGAACACCCAGATTGTTTTGATGTTACCCAGATTTGAGATGCCTTCAAACCAGACCAAGGTGCCAGCGAGTCGGTGTTTTAAAAAAAAAAAAAAAAAAACCTGTGCATGGGCTGGGACTTGCATGTTTTTCTGTTGTGCTGCTGTAGGGGACTGAGCTGGCTTCAGTTTTATGTTTCAGAACCGTTGACCGAGAGAGACTGGATTTTGGACCTTTATGCTGGGCACCTGTAAAGCAAACTGAACAGTCAGCATGCTCTGTTGGCGTCTGCAGGGAGGATAAAGGATTGGAACGAAGTCAGTTAAGCTGCTTGCAGACCCATATGATACAGGAGTTTGAGAACCAATCAGTCAGACACAGGAGAACGGAATTAGAGCGTTAGCGAGATCACTGCCTTGAGATGGGCAGGGGCTAGTGGTGCTGGAAGTGTGTTAGCAAGTGAGAGCTGCTCCCAGACCTCTGGTCAGAGCAGCTTGGCAGCAGAGGCCTGGCCTTGCGTACACTCGGCCCCCTGCCCCCAAGTCTGCCATTGT